CTGGTGCGCTCGCGCGTCAACGCGGGAGTTTCCCGCGTTCGGGACCCTCGGGTGGAGGGAAAACTTATTACCCCCCATGGAGGGGAAAAATCTGATGGGGGGGTGTACAAGTGAGTCGTTTGATAATTAAAAAGAAGACGCAGGCGGAGAAAGTCAACTGACTGTCAGGAAGGGCCTTCTCGAAGTACGGCAAGAGACAACGTAGTTGTGGAGGCAGACGAAGGGGTTCACAGTGCGGCCATGTGCTTTCGAGTGACACCCGAAGTAACATTTACAGCTTAATTCAAACAAAGACATGTGGGATTCTTTTCGACTTGCTCCGGAGCAGGTTGGGAGTTGTCTATGAGAGGGAGCTGTATTGAAATGGCACTATCGTCTCGTTTTCAAAGGCAGCAAATGCAGGACCTCTCACAAAGCGGCCCTGGCCGTAATCCGTAAAACGGCACTCCCTGAAGGAGCCGTCGCCGTCGGCTTCAGTTTAATTGCTTTTTGTACTGATACTCGACTCGTGCTGTGGACCCATCGTGGTGCCGCAGGGAAATAGTTGTGAGCCCCACTGCAGGTCTGATGCAGTACAGTACACCGGCGATGTCCAGCGGGCGATCCAAGGGGTCGTGATTTGGGCCAGTGGTTGAGCACATACCGGAGGTGACTCCGTCTTGGACTGGTTGGATATATTGGCTGGGTGATCGGGGGGGGCTATCGATTCTGGCTGGGACTTTGTGTTCGAGAAGGCCCAGTCCCGCCTTCTGAGCCTGGTATCTGAGCAGGCCGAGAGAGGGAGGCTGGAGGAGGTATTCACCGACATCCCCGCGGTCTCTGTGCAAGCCAGCGAACAATGGCCAACGCGCCATGTGCGATCGGGCATTGGGCAATGCGATGCGACCGACGCTGATCTTCGTCTCGTTCCCCCTCACTTTTCCTCCTCTTCCTTTGCCCTACCTAGTTCGGATATCTCAATCCCCTCGGAAACTGCTCTCCCGCACCACAGAGTTTGAAATATCAAGGTAATCAATCGTAAAACGAAAGTGCACACGCACGAAATCCCTTAAGGCGGAGTGGGACACGGAAATTTAACCCACTTTCGCCCGATTGAAGCCGACATCCACCACAACGCCAGTGTCCTCTTCTCCGTCATCCCGGCCAACACCACTCTTGACATCAACCCGATACGAATCAGATACTCACCATCAGGAGGCGGATACGATACAAACATCTGTGTTCAGGTACCAAAGCGGAGCGGAGGCTTGCAGCGTATAAGGACGAGGTGCCCCCGCCGCGGGACCGTCGAACAAGTGGAGAACTGATTCTTTGATCTCATTCTAGCCGCTCGCAGCTTTGGTGTACGTAACGCCCACAAGAGTATGTTTCTGTCCACATCACTATCACTTTTGCACGGTCGCAATGCCACACATTGATGCTTAATCCAAATCATCGCAGTCTTTTGAAGCATTTTTTACATCACATCATTAAGAGCGACGTGCGTATTGTAGAGAATGTGATTGCAAGAATAAAGGAGACAAAAGGCGGGAGAGGGAGGAATCAAAGAGTTCGACTGCTAACTCGCCTCTGAAGATCCTTCGCAATATCAGCGTCATTTTTTTACCAACACAATGAATGCGGAATTTGATTCAGTCTTTGTTCCTTGTAAGTTTCGTCCATCCGTCCATATCCGGTGCAGCTTCAATTGCGACGATTTGGAACTGGGGGCATCCGGACAGCCTGAAGAAATGACCACTGCATGCATCCTCAGCGACTCCTTGGATCCGGCAGGACTGTTGCGACCATCACAAAGCTTTTCTATGAGCAGACTGAAAGCTTCTCTAGCGCTGCATTCAACTTGCTCAATAATGATGTTACATATAAGACCTCATCAACGACCACGATTATGAGCTTACAAACCTGCAAACCCTCAACCCATCAAACACAATTGGTCTAACACGAGACAAAAATAACCTCATCGATGCGCTGCTAACGAGGAAGCATCGAATAGACACCTTCAACCCCGGAATACTCGAAACAGCGCGAGCAAAACATGAACTCGCAGTGGCCGCTGATCAAAGTATGTGGGTTCGCAAAGCGAGTGCGGAATTTCTCGGGGCGTTGCCGACGCCGCTACCCACCCTCCAACTCGCTGTCGCGGTCATCAACGAGATCGGAATGGCGCTCGATTACATCGGTGATATATCCGCCACCGACATCGCAAAGGATTTGATTCCATTTTTGAAAACCTATTAAAAACAGCTTCTTAACATGATGGGCTCGGGCGATCCCGGAACCCCTTCGCTGGCTGCAGATCGCGGGCGTCGACTTGACGGCGGAGATTTTCCGCCTTTCTATGGACCATCCCGACCGCGTGACAACGCTTCTCAGAAGCAACGAGCTCTCCACTGCCGTTTGCGCCTGTGACAAGATATCCTAGAACTTGGCGAAAATCAAGCGATTATCGCTTGCGCCTTGCCACGTCCAGCGATTGGCTTTTCGCGTCGACAATCACCGGGTGATGGACCTCCGCAAACAAGCGGAAGGCCTTTTCGAAGGAGTGATTGATACAGATGCGTTTGAAAGTGGAATGGAGAACCTTCTACCGAGCTATATCGACCAGTTCACTAAATCGAGCTGCGGGACGGTGGATGTGTCGGGGAGCATAGCGAACCTGATCAAATCGTGGGTCTCAAAACTGGAAAGAAGCAAAAGAAGTTTGCCCCAGATACTCGACGAGATCAAAGAAACCGACCCATTTTCTTTGAGGGTGTGGGCGCATGAGACGCTGAACTTGCAGCAGCAGGCACAACCCATGCCCCCGCATCCTAGTACATGTGAGTATTGTTGTGCATTGTCGTCTACCACTGTTGACTGTCTTAGCTATCTTCCTCTTACTGATGAATCCGAATTCAATCACTTTTAGGGGGTCAAGCGCCAACGTCCTCTGCATTGGTCGTGGCTCCATCACGTGCTCAACCGCAAGCTCGTCAGTCGTTTTCCACTCCTAGTAGCCGGGCCGATGACGACCGTGTCCCCTCAAGACGCCATACTTCGACGATTTCCCTCAGGCCTCTTAAGGCGCTTTGTGGTGCAGAAAATGTCCACGAGGAATGTACGACTGATGCCCCGCCGAGCATCATTGACGATGCTTCTGGTGTATTGGAATTCAAGGCAACTTCGAAGGGGCCGTCATCCATTTCGGAAACGATGTCGAGCAAATCGGACAGAGGTCGGCGCGAAAATATCTTCGCATCACTTTTTTCATCCGGACATTTCCCCAGAGCCAGAGATCCTTGCGAGCTCCCCTACCACGACCACGACCACGACCACGACCACGACCGCGACCGCGACTGCGGCGGAGGCGGAGGCGGAGGTGGAAGAGGCCATGCGCCCCATTTCGTCACAAGCGCTGCAGACCAAGCCGCGACGATTTCACCGACCCTCCGTACGCGACGTTCTGCATTCCAGGCGCTCGCCTTCTCTATCGGAACCTCCGCCTTGCGTGAGGCAAGTCTTACCAACGAAATATTGCAGCTTCAGTCGTCAGGCTCCCGCTCAAATCACGCGAAAGTAATGGGTTCTGGCCGCAAACGGCTCTCCGCATTGCGATCCTTCGCCCCTGCTGTCACGGTCGAGCCTCCGAGGTCACCTCTCATGGAGAGGAATGCGGTTAGAGTGTCAGCATTGCGGGATAAGCACGAGCAGAAAATGCAAGAGCCCATAGGGTGCTCTAGTCAAGTGAAGGCAGAGCCCGCCGACAAAGAGCCCGGAGAGAGCGAGAGCCCGGAACGCCCAGCAATATCGGCCTGCATCACATCGGTGCAGATCAATCAAATGGGCGATGCCAAGACAGGCAGTGCAGCCGCCAATCCGTCATTTCGACCGCACAACAGGTGCAGCGACGTTGGGAAGGCGCACAGATGCAAGCATGATGATTTGCCTAGATTTGGACCTGGCCCGCCGCCTCCACCACGCCTCGACTCCTTGGCGTGCTCGAAATGACGACCGTAACCCTGTCCTCACTCTCGAGGAGTGATATCGTACGAAAGCGCCGCCGATGTCTCGGCCGCCACGCTCACGAGCGATCCAGCTGCGGCGGGGAGCTGGATTGCGAAAATTTGCCGCAAAATCGGCCGGCTATTCGGGCGAGCTGGAGAAGGAGCCCTTTCCGCACCTTTTTTCTCCTTCCCAGCGCCTTTGACGACAGCGAGCGAAGGGGAGGAGAATGTCAGCTCGCGAGCGGCCGCATCTCCCTTGAAGAGTCACCGGACACGCACCCTTCGATGATCTGAACTTAATCGGCCTATTTTGTTCCATCCCGCCATGAAACACTCAGACTTTCTCCACCCCACGCGAACACCGCCAGCCGCCCCCGGCATCCGGACCTCTCCTCCACCACCCCCGGCTCTGAAACAACTGAACACTAGAGCTGAGCAAAGTGGTCTCCAAAGGGCCAGAGAAATGGCACCTAGTCCCAAGCGAACAACTCGAGGGATGGGAGTGATAAAAAAAACTTCTACCAATAGTCATGGGATGTTGGCGCAACGGCAGCGCGTCCGACTCCAGATCGGAAGGTTGCGTGTTCAAATCACGTACGTCTCATTGTCGCGGTACAGCAACGTAAGGGAAAGTGGGTTGTTCGCACAAATGCTAGAGCTATTCTCCTTTTTTTCGCATCATCTCCATAAGTCCACAGGCACCCCCACGCCATCCACGCGCTTCTTCGTCCTCTTCTTGCGATGCTTGCGGAATTCGGGCTGCGCGGCGTCGTAGGTCTCCGAGGGAGTGGGAGTTGCCGGGATTCGCGGGGTGGTTGCCGAGGGTGTCGTAACGAGGGCGCATTACGCGCACAAACGCCTGCATCGTCGAGACCTACTCGATCTATTGAAAGTCAGGGGCGCGGTTAGTTTTATTTGCGAAGCACCACATCACAGACGTCTGGCCCGCCTAGCTCTTTCGCACCGGATCTGTCCGCCTACCGCTGAAGATGGTATCTTGAGAGTCGTCTCGGCCGTCGGCGAGGGGGAAAATTTTCGTTCGGAGTCAGATGCGGACGACGTTACGGCAGTAGGTTTCTTGCACTTTGCGACGGCCGACCGAAGGAGGAGTCTTTGGCCCGGGGTGCGCGGTTGCCGATGAGCGGCTCGTGGATGTAGGGGGCGTCTGGCATGCAGTCTCGGGCGTCGACGAGCAGGGGACCTCCCAGTCTCAGCATCGGAGGAGGGCTGGCGCGTAGCAGCGGCGGGAGGGTTTGCAGTTGCGACCGGAGACGTCGAGGCGAGGCAAGCGACCGCTGCGGGCGACTCCTGGCTAGTCCCGTCTGTGGCGGGAGCGCGGTGAGCGGGAGACATGGGGGTCGGGTAATCCGTAATTGGCGCAGCAGCGGTAGAGGTTGGGAGATCAGCAGCGGCGAGAGGCGCAACGGCGGCCTTAGGCGCGGCATCGGAGACGGGAGTGGACGGAATAGCGGCGGCGATAGGCGCGTCATCGGCAACCGGAGTGGCCGGGATAGCGTTCGCGACAGGGGCGGCATCATCAACAAGCGCAGCGTCGATAGTAGCCGCTGGCGGAGCTCTAAAGGTAGGCGGCACCGAAATTGCGACCGCAACGGCGGCAGTGGGCACCGGAAGCAGGACCGCAGTCAAAGGGACAGCGGAATGGGCGGGATCCGGGTTGGCGACCACCGCCGCAACCGGAGACCGAGACGCCAGACCACGGACGGGGATCTCGACGGGGATGGGCGCAAGGGGTGGATGTTAGGTCGTGGGTTGCGCTTCGAACCTGGGGTGGGGAAACCGACGCATACACACAGGCTGCTACTCCGTGCGCTCGACGAACCCCACGACGGGTGCGGACATGAAGGTCAGTTGCTGGTGGAGTTGGTAACGACGATGCCCTTTAAACAGCACGTGATGATGGGGCCCTTGCTGTCGGCGTACTTGCTCCGCATACCGCTCACGCGCCTCAGCAGCATACTGAAACATCTGCAGCTGCTGGTGCATCGTCAGTGGGCCCAGGAGCCGCTGCTGCGGCAAAGGAGAGCGGCGCGATATGGTATTCATCGACCAGGGCGGAGGACATGGCCGCGGAGGGCCCCACCGTTGCGCCCCTTGCGGAAGGTACATCTGCAACGGAAGGAAGGGATGCGGCTGTTGCTGCTGGCCGTCGCAGGGCATTGTACCCGCATGGTGGAACAACATTTGGGGCGGGAAGACCTGACTCAATTGCGGGTGGTAGGTGTGCTGCGGGGGCGCCGCGCCTGGCTACGCGGTAATGGAGCTTGCTGGCGGGGCCGACATGTTCGGCGGGTACATGCCCTCGGAGGGAGGGTACCACGTGCCGCGCTGAGCGAAGCCGTTCTGGACAACGACGGGGCCGCACAAGTACTGGGCATCGATGAGCTGCTGCGCGGGTGGGGCCGGGCTCGGGTTCGGCAAAGAGACGGGGCCAGACGTGAGGTTTTGCGCGCGGGGAGAAGGAGGCGTAGAGGTCGTGGTCGTAGTAGTAGTTTCTTTTGAGACCTAACCAGCGGATCACCCCCCCCACGCCTCCTTCTCCCCGCGCGCAAAACCTCACGG